CTCGCTGTGGCTCTACCCGACGAACGCTCTGAACAATGAGGAAGTTTGTTCTGTGATGATCTCACGACTCCTGAAGTCACAGCTGTTCTTACGGAGATGCTGAAAGGTGGCTTGAAATGAAACTTTACGCCGGAACTGAAATATCTTCAGAAAGGTAAAAGAGTCGATCTTCAACTGCCAGTGTACCGTAAAGGAGCGTGCTGTTCTGGTTATACAGACACTTTTTCCTCATCCATCTCTCTCCATTTAAACTTAATTTTCCCATCTTTAAACTTCTATCTTGCCAGTAATTAGGTGCAGATATCTTCAGAAATGTCTGTTGGAAAAGCTGCAAAAGATAATCATGGCTGCATGATTTTCTCATGCAAGGGTCATTAATTAAGCTGTGTTATTGTAGTCAATTTTGCCAATTAATGTAAATGTGTGATGTGTTTTAAATCGTTTCTAATTAAACGACTCACTGTTGTGGTGGGTCAAAGATAAAACACGTCTCTGTCCACATTTAATATTCAAAACACGATATTACTCAGTCCAGAAAAATGAAAGAATCCGTTTAAATTATGGATAATATCAGACGCATATTATCTTCATTACAACTGGTGGCCCGTAACGGGTTCATGAAATGGACTGTGCTATTCTGTAACACTTGAATTTATCATGTTGGCATATCTGATCTTAACTGAAAGTAGCTTAAAAGTGCAGATTTCTGTTCGACTGTAAAACGCAATGTTTTCAGCCGTGGTGTTAAGAGAGCTGAAGTTAAGTCAATGTGTTCATTTTAAAGCTGAATTTGTACATCTGTTGTGTAACTAAGCTGACATACTGTGGAGAAACGTTTGATTCTGTTTAAACTTTAACAGAAAGGGGGTTCTGACCCGGTTCTGTTCGCTCGGTTCTGATTTCGAACGAGTTGTTTTAAATGGATGGAAAGCTGTTTTAAAGCTGAGCGCCGTCTCTGATCACTGTTAAGAATTGCTTCGTTACATCTGTAGCAGTAAAAATCGTACATTTTGAGAAGTTAATGGACGAAAGTTGACCGGAATGTTCAGGCTAATCGCTAACACAGCTAGCTGCAATAACGAATTGTGATTGGTTGAAAACCGCTGTTTGGGTCGCTCTGATTCGCTGAGAAGTGGGTGACGTGTCTGCGTTCACTCCCTCTGATGTCAGATTGTAAAACCCACCCCGTTGTTCATTGGTTGATTCAATCACGTGACCCCGGAAATGCAGCTCGTTTTCATATAGAAGCTTTCTCTGTTGTTTTAAAGTTGGAAAATGCTTTAAAGTTGGCTCTGAACCGCTGATCCAATTATTAAAAGCCTAATCGCTGAAACTTTGCCACGTTCAAGTTTTAAATCCGTCATTAAATGGTGATTTTGGACCGCGCTAGCCGATGCTAATTTTAAGCTAACGGCTAAAGACCGGATGTCACCAAAGCCACAGGAAGTCATCGCGACTCCTACTGGACGTCACTAACAGTGACAGGTTAAAATAAATAAGGTTACACTGCCACCTCCTGTTAGAAACTCGAAATCACAGTTTCACTTCGTGTTTAGGATATTTTGGTGAAATTAAACGTGTTTTTTATTCTGTCAGAAGCATTTTTGAGTTAATAAACGTTGCTCAAGCTGATTTATACTGTTATCTTACATTTAAAAAGTGATTAAAGTATTTATGCCCAGAGAAGGCGTTTACTAGGAAATTTTTCATTCACTGATAAATCCTCATGAAGGTGCAAAATGAAAAATTAAGAACTTTTGATAGATACAGTCACAGATAATCACAGAGTTGATCAGTTTACTCAATTGCTGAAAGGAAAATACACGTTTAATTGCTAAAACACCAAATATAAATAAATATAACAGAAAAGGAAACCTTTCTGATTTATTTTACCACCTAAAAAACACAACATCTTCCTGTTTATTTATTTATTTAAAAAAAAAAAAAAAAAAAAATTAAGAGATAATGGAAGAAAAGGAGGAAAGCAATGACCCCTTGGGCTCCTATGAGTCAGATGATGAAAATCAACAGGTTGACATAATTCAGAGAGCTTTAAATATTTTAACGGCCCCAGTAATTGGTACACCATTAGAAGAGATGGATGAAATTCAGAAAGCTACAGTACTGGAAAGTTTAGCAGGAAACGCCACGGTGAAAGAGAATAAAAAGCTGAGCCTTTAACGGATAGCAAAAATTTCTCTGTTTCTCAAAGACAAATTGGATCTACAGGTTGAACAAAATGACGTGTTGTCTAAAGCATATGCAGAAGACAGAGAGGAGTATCTCAAATTCATGGCACAGTCTAAACTTGATGAAGAGACCAGTGCAAATGAGTTACAACGTGAGAGGGAGCTCTCACAAAATCACCTTACTTCACAAGCTCACTCATATGAGGAGAAGATGAAGGAAAGGGAGGTCAAGTACCGAAAGTTGTGTTCAGACAACGATGCTCTACAACAACAGTTGCAGCAGGCATCAAATGCTCTGAGCGAGTGCAGAACTGAGATAGACGCGCTTAAAACACAACTTTACCATGCAGAAAGGAAAAATAGTGAGAGGCATGGACAGAATGTGGGGACACACTGGGCTCCAGACCCAAATCTCCTTACATCACACACACCTCCACCCTTATCTAAAGTAGCAGGGACAGACCTGACCAGGTCTCCTCTACCAAGCAGGCAAGAGAGACCGTTGAGACTTCCTCTTTCAATAGATGAACTTCAAAAACTCTCAAAATATGTACAACGCTTTGTACCTGGCCCAATGGGGTCAACTGGTACGAAGGCGTATCTAAATGATCTGGATTTCAGACTGAGTGGTTATCCAAATGCTACGGTTGAAGATAAAATCAGTCTGATAAGGCTCACGTCGGACAGAGAGGTGTTCACCTTCATCGAGCGTCAACCTGATGCCACGAGAAGGGATTACAACCTTCTGTGTGAAGCTTTGATCAGAGAATACGACCCCTACACGGGGCCTGGTGGCTTCCCAGCTGCAGACAAGGTCACGCAAGGGAAGCATGAACATCCAAAGGTTTATTACAAAAGAATCTTCCAAGCTTATTTTGGTTACAGGAATGAAACCGGCATGGAGGAGGAAGAAGGTTTTAAATTTGTTTTCAGCAAAAACCTCCACACTGACATTAAAACGTCAGTACAAATGATGGCTAATTTCAAAGAAAAATCCATCAATGAGATTAAACAGTGTGCTGTGAATGTGTTTGAGGCATGTTCTCATGTTAAGACGCCCATAGAGGTGTTTCCTGGTGTAAAGATTAAACCCCACTCGCTAGAACGGGAAGGACGGCGTGCATCGCCTCCCCCTCCTAAGAAAGGCGAGAAAAAGCAGTCTTTTCAAACTAACAAACCGCGTCATGAAGGTGCACGCTGGGACAAAAAAGATCTAAAGGGATTGAATTTATTCCCAGAGGTTGAACGTGATTATTGTAAGTGGGGTGTGCGTAGGACGAATAGATATGGGAACCAAGGTGACCCATATTATCAGGGGAAGTCCGAAAAGGAACCCCCAAATGACGTACCTATCCCTCTTCCACCTCGGACAAAACGACCCGAGGTGAAAAAATCACAAAGGTTCCAGAAACAAGGCCCTACACCTCTGAGCTCAGAAGAGACAGAGAAACTACGCAGGTTGTTAGAAACTTTGAAACACACTGACACGGGAAACCAACCTGGAGCACTATATAGTGATGTGATCGCTATTAAATCTGAGGGCGCGAATGACAACGTCACAGATGTCGGTGGAACACATCAAGACTTGTTGTTGTGGCCTCAGACAACCCCTCATCGGATGAAGGGGGGGTGAACTCACACACAAACGATGACGAGTCATCGCAAGCTGAACACTCAGAAACAGCTACTGCTGTGCTGACGGTTCAGACAAACCAAGATTACACAGACAAGGCTGAGCGTGTGAAGA